TTGTCAGGCAATAACTTATGGCCTAATTTTTTTAAACGCTCGTATTCATTAATTTTGACTTCTTTAGTTTTTACCTTCTTGGTGTTCTTTTTTTCCAAACGAAGTCGTCGAACTGTCTCACTGTAGCGTTCTATTTTGTGCCTGTAATCTCTTGATCTTCAAACGTAATTTCCTCTTTCTTGGGCTATCATCCGATGATGTCTTGATATATTGACTCCCGGATGTACTTCTGTGAAGTAATACGAATCCGTTAAAATTATGATAACATTTTTTTATTACGGTAAGCAATGTAATAAATTCTACTAAAAAATAAACAATTTAAATATTATTAAGTAAAAGATAAAGTTAAAAAATAGAAATATAATATATTAATTTTTAAACTACATTCTAGTAGTAATTAAATGTTTGTTATAAAAAAATTTTATTATAAATGAGAAAATAAAAATATGTGCGTTACTATAAGTTATAAAATAAAACATACGGTTTAACTTTTCCAGTCTTTATATCATGGATAACAGTAGTGATTGGCAGAATTTCTGAAGAGATTATTTCTGAAGTGTTGGCATTGCTGAAAAAATCACGAAAAATTATATAATCACGAAAAATTATATACATTATATATTATATTATTTTTCTTAAAAATAAAAATGTTGTCTATTAATATAAGTTACCTAGTTTCTTCCTGTATTTCAACCACTTCAACATCAGTTGCCTCTGTATTTCTACAATAAAAAAAAATATATACCATAATCTTATAGAATATTTTTTTATGAAAAAATATAAAACTGTTTAAATATACCTATTCGTTTTTTCTGCGAATACATCTTCCTTTTGTGTTTTATTAGTTGTTATATTTCTGAAAAGACTAATTATTTTCTGTATTTATAAATAATTTTCATAATAAAAAGAATTATTATCAGATACTATATTAATTGATTAATTATACACACAATTATTAAAGTAATTATATTGTAAAATTATTATATATTACTTTATACTATTTTTATGTATGTATATAGTATTATTTAATTTAATGAAAGCCTAATTGCATTAAACTAAATTATTAAAAAAATGATTAATTATTATAAATAAAAACTCACTCTTGTTCTAAATGTAGTCCAAATAAAGTAGGTACAGCATCTGGATGAAGACGAGCATTAATTTTGTTAATATTGTACCATTTTTTTTCAAAATGTAAATGGCACAAACGGCAATTTTGATAAGCATATTCTGGACCTTTGGGTTGTAAATCCAGCCTTCCACATGCTCGTATCCATTGCAACCATTTGTACATATACATATATACATATAAATTAAAGTATTTTTCATTAACAGAGTAATATATAGTCATTTAATAAATGATAACATTTTTTTGTGACAGCAGTCTAAATTGCTCACTACACTTAAACAACTAGATATAGTAAAATTAATAAAAATATAAATTACATCATAAAGTAATAATTATAAAACAATACCTGTCATGCTCTTTGGAAATCTAAAAAAATATCGTCGCTTCGTATTATAATTTTCAATAACACTGCACAATGGTACTGCACAGCTTGGCTGTTTTCTCCCAGTCATTTCTCTTGTTTTATTTTATTTTTTACTGTTCTCAGTTTCTTTCACTTATTTCACAGCAACACCTGGAACAAAGCTAAGATCAAAAGTGCTTCCAAGAAGATAGATAACTTATACAGCAGTTGTATAAGTTAACTATTCTCTTAGGAGAGATCGTTCCTCGTTTCACTTTAATTTTTCCACTTTTTCACTTTTTTTAACTTTTGCACTATTTTTGCTTTTTAGGCACAAACAAGAATTATTTATAATTTCTCTAACTGACAAGCAAACGACAACTTCTAACACTGACTTCCTCCAAATTTCAGCTTTCCGAATATAAACTGCCATAGGTATATAAACAGAAACATTTAAATGCCCTGACAGAGAGAACAGAAAAAGAAAGAAGTGAAATAGAAGTTTAGATGGCGTTACTGGGGAACTTACTGATTTC